TGGTCTAGTGGTTTAGCACACCGCTTTACTATCCGATAGTCGTGGGTTCGATTCCTCGCACGGTACAAACATTTGTATTCATGAGTATAATTGTTTGTATCGGTCTGGGTGTTTTCTATGTATAATATGTATTTATTTACAAAAAAAAATGTATCCATGTATTTATATCAGTTGTCTAGTACCCATAACACAAGCTTTAGCTAGCTTAACTTGGGTCTAGATGGCGCTGTGTGAATTGTCTTGAGATTATTATAATTCATAAAAAAGCAAGTTTTATACAGTACCTATCTAAATTACTGGCGTTGGTAGCTAAATATGAGGGTCCTCGAATCATTACTCGGATTTTGCCTTTCTGTCTACCTTCTAGGATATATTCAACAATGTACAAGGTTTTGTAACTTTCTTTTTTGAGGCTAAGTTATTCATAATTTTATTTATTTTTATTATTAAATATCATATTTATTTATTTTTATTATTAGATATTTTTATTATTAGGTCTATACATATAAATAAAATTAGAGAGTCTGTTTGTAATATTGGAATAACCATTTTTTACTACATGCATATGAATATATACGATACATACACCAAAATAACATTTTTGTCTGTCTGTCTGTTTGTTCCGGATAATCTCTGAAATGGCTGGACCGATTTTGACGGGACTTTTTTTGGCAGGTAGCTAATGTAACTAAGACTACTTATTTTAGAAAAAATCTTTTGTTTTAGAAAAATAAAGTTAAAACCCACGCGGACGAGATCGCGGGAACAGCTAGTCATAAATAAAAATATGTATCGATTTAAAATCAAAGGTCAACATTTTTTTATTATATTTAAACGACAACGAATACTGGCAGATTTCCTGACATCAAAAACTTAACACTGAAGAAATAAGAGATGATATTCTAAATCTCCTAGACATTCAGACGTAGATAAAGAACATTTTTGAAAGAGAAGAAGAACACTGTAAAGAACAGGAATTCAAAAGAATAAGAAAAAAACAAAAGTAAATATATGTATATAAAAAAACATTTTATTGTATAAAATATTAATTCAGGTAAAAATAAGAAGAGAAGCCTGTAAATTATTTTGCAATGCAATTAAATTAAGAAAGTAATGGACTGGTGAGGAGAAGAAATTCCAAGTTATTATATTATGTGTAACCAACTGCATATAAGTTTATGATTTAATCACATGATTGTTAATGTATTGCTTATTAACAAGTCCAGGAATTATATTGTGTACCAGAAATTAATTAAGAAATGATTTTGATGAAATAATCGTATTGATATTGATTTATTTGGAATATACTATAAATATAAGAGAATTGTTTAAGATTAAGATTTTAGTAGAGTAATAGACAAGCAGTGAAAAAAAAAAGTACTATTCTAAATTATTAACAATTGTTTATTCTGTGCTTAATAAGTTATTTAAGAGTGTTTTGTTACCTCAAAAAAAAAATATAATCTAGTGTTGTGTACATGTAATTTTAGTCACACCTCATTTGATTTAATATGTCAGGAATAATTTACTACATAATAATTTTATATTAGATGGCATTCATATATTTATTTTAATGGAAAGTGTATAATAAAGCCCATTTTCATCAAAAACTTTGTGTTAACGTATATTTCTCACTATACATAATATGGGACACAGTTACATAGATACATCAAAATAATAATTGCATTTTAATAATGTCTAGTAAGTAAGTAAGTCTACAAATCCAATATTGTCTACTAAGCACTGCCGTGTCTAAATTGTGTCACCCCACCTTATATTTTCCTATTGTTATTTAGTATATAAGATCAATATTTCTATGTACATATTGTCAGTCAATTATTCTAAATTTAGTAATGACATATTGTAATTTAAATAATGTAAATTAAATATTGTAATGGGTGAAAACTGTGATTGGTACAGTTTATGCTGTAAATAATATAAATGACGTAGTGGAGTAACTTGAAACAGTCATGCTCGCTATAAAGTTCAAACTTGTGGCGGCGTGGTGGGCCGGGTCGATGTCCTCTAATATGGTTGAGTGCAATGATGGCTGGCTCATCCGTCATACTCGTGTACGGGTGCTGCTTGTGGGGACTGGTCTGTTCAGGTTGCGAACACTGATTAGATTTTTTGATTTTTTTTTATATAGCATATGCTGGTGGTCACTTTATTCTCCCAAATTTGAATTTAAATGAAATAGTATTATTGTAAATATGTCCAACATTAAAAAAAAATACGAACTGAGTTTCTTGTCAGTTCTTCTCATCTCGAAATCATTCCGAACTGACGGTAGATTTGATATATCATAAGAGTCTGTAATAGACCTACATGAATACAGATATTTTGAATTTGAATTTGAATTCAATTAACATCTGTAATATACGTATTCTCAACCAACAACATAGTATATTTATCCCGCAACAGTGGTGACCCCGACGTGATCTGGTCGACTTGATCGAGATGATACTTGGGAAAATGACGAGATCAAACAAGCGATCTCTGTCTGATGGCATCCTGCGCACCACCATTGCGCATTTCCACCGGCTTCTCACAAGCAGGTCATACCGGTTCTGAAATTCACTGTCTTTATAGTCTTTGGGCATTGAAATAGTAATTAGGAACAAAATTGAGAGACAGTAGGTCACAGTACCCCAGATCCTTGAATTTAAATCATTAAGTACTTAAAGTATTAGGTAGGTAACCTAATACTTTTTTAATTAATTAATTAATTTCAATCTCAATCATCATATCAATGAAGATAATGTTAATTTAAGATGGTGAATATCTACCATTGTTATTGATCTCATCATCGGTGATGACGACACCATGACGGTGGTGTCGTTATCACCGATACCCTCCCTCATCCACATTGTCAAAAGTTACTACCTACTATTGTTATTTGAAATGGTAAACATGCTGACGGCCCATCTGACCATGACGCTATCTACGTATACATAACTTGTTAAATAGCATTACAAACATTACGTCATCTTATCGTGCTTTTACGTGTCCATATGCAAACGTTGTCATTCTGGAGAACGTAGATGTTATGTCCAAATATCCTGTAATTTCTTAGCTTAATTTCAATTTGCATAAATACCAAAAAACAAGCAGTAATGGCGTCGTGTTTACAGCCGCCAGCCTACTTTTAGATATCGAAGGTTCTACAAGTATAACTCTAAACAAGTACATGCCATTAGTATCCTTATAATGTCCCTGAAAGAACCTATATAACCGATTGATAGATTAGAATAGAATAGAAAATCATTTATTCAAATAAATTTAAGCAAAGTCATTACAATTTTTTTTATCTACCGCTCGTTCGGAAAGCTGTATCATCACAAGAAGAACGAGCAAGAAACTTGTGTGTTGCTCTTTTAAATAATCCTTGTATGTTTACATTTACATGTCGAAACGTGTGAATACAAACTACCAACGGTTCAGAACATCGCCTTACTTCCGATGGTCGCGGGTTCGATTCCTCGCACGGCACAAACATTTGTATTCATGAGTATGATTGTTTATATCGGTTTGGGTGTTTTCTATGTATAATATGTATGTATTTACGAAAAAAAATGTATCTATGTATTTGTATCAGTTTCCTAGTACACATACCACAAGCTTTAGCTAGCTTAACTTGGGTCTAGATGGCGCTGTGTGAATTTTCTTGATATTATTATTATATAGTTATCTCTGCTAAACGCTGACATGTAGACTGAATTGCCTGCCATCTATTTTAATGCTTTATTACTAAGCACCCATTAGTAATCCGAACTGCTTTAGATATAGCGACATCTAGCGCCTACGACGGCGAAATAAAATGTCCCGCGTTAGGATGGAACCATTTTCTTGTATGGGATTGGGTGTCTGCCGAGGTTCGAACCCCTAGTGGTGCCCTCAGACTAAAGTCGTATTCGTCAGGCAGGAGTTGGCCTTCAGCCGCTCCATAAGTCCTTCCGCGGCTTTGGAGTGCCATCTGCATTCTCCCCTAACGTCCGGTGAAGCTGTAAAGGCCAGCTGCGGCCAACAGCATTAGAGTAGTCCGACAAAAAAATATATTTAGGCACTTAGATCAATATATACGGTTGTAACCTCATAACTGTATTTCATTCAATAAGTACAAACGCTCCTGATCTCCAGAACCTTGATTTTATACACTGGTAGAGAATGCCATCAGGCATTAAGTTCGGCATGAATACAATTTTGTGTGCAAAAGAATAAATATTATTTGATATTATTTGTAAATTGATAAAGTGCTTTAAAATTATGTAAAAATTTAGATTACCTGATAAGTCAGAACAACTTGTCGTAGGTAATTTCTCTATTAATGGTTTTTGTAGTAGAGATATGATTCTCCTCCTTAAGGGTAGGTGATATAAAGTAGTAGAGGAACTAGAAAATGGTAAATATAATTTGTTTATACGTTATACATTTGTGATATAAAATTATTAAAAATGGCAACTTCGTCAACAACACCGCGCTCGAGGCACGGTAACACTGAAGCCGGAAGAAATTCATGTACAAGAGAATGTTTATACTATACTTTTGTTGTTGTGAAAATAAAACAAATATTCTGTATTAATGTAAAGGATTTTGTATTTCCCTCCTATGATTTAGCTCAGAATATATTTAAAATTCGATGGCTCTATGTTATTTTTTTAAAAGTAATAAATTATATTGTAGCAGAGAGGTGGTGTACATTTGTAAATAACAATATTTAACGTCTTAGACAGAGAGTAGAAGAAATTATTTATGATGAAAGGGCAGTCGCACAAGTGTGGTCTTAAAATGAATGTTCGCAATTACATTTTTGTTATTGGTAGTATAGTATCGACAGTTTTGAATACCAACATGAAAATCTTGGCAGTAAACTAATTAGGTAACTAATATTTATGATAAACTACGAGGACGTATTGTGTGGAATCAAGGAGAAATAATACTAAAAATATATGAACTTACTTTCTTTATTTGTCAAAGTAAATTATTATGAAGTAGGTACGTATCGAGTTCAGGTGGAAACTGAAATAAAACTATCTGTCTGTCTATCATGTTTTATTGTAACATATAGATAGTGTTCTACACATTCACGTCACATGCTCGTCGCGCGCCCCCTGATATGGGGGCGGCCGCGGGGCGCGGGGCGCGGGCGGGGGCGGGGGCGCGCGACCGTCCGTCCTCCTCCAACATAAATAAAGATTCACATAATTATATAAACTTACTCACTAATTTACAGACACGGGGCCGGCGAGCGGCCTCCTCGCATATACACCTATATACACTCTAATCAACTAGTCTGTACACGCGACGCCGGGGCGTCGTTATTGCGGGGGCGGGCGGCGGGCGGCGACTGCCGACTATTTACAACGACAGGATATGTGAGGGGGGCGGCGGCGCGCGCGCTCGTCAGTCGCGAGGCGGCGCGCGCGCCAGCAGCGCCAGCGGCTGCAGCGACTGCAGCGGCTGCAGCGGTTGCAGCGCCTGCAGCGGCTGCAGCGGCTGCAAAGAAGCGGCGTGCAGCGCGTGCCCGTGAGAGTGCGCGTGCGGCGCCAGCGGCAGCAGCCCGCCCGCGCCGCCCGCGCCTTCGCCCGCAGGCGGGTTGATGCGCTTTTCCTGCAAACACACAACATCGGTTAGTTTCGAGACAGAAGAGAGAGAGACGGAACAAAGGGATAGAAAGAAACCCGGGGTCGTAGCGGACTCACCTTCTGGCGACGGTTGCAGAACCAGACGCGCACGACCTCCTTCTCCATGCAGAGCGCGTCCGCGAGGGCGGCGATCTCCTCGCTGGTCGGCTTGGGGTTGTGCAGGAAGGCCTTCTCGAGCGCGACCCGCACGCCCGACTCGATGGAGGTGCGCTTCTTGCGGCGGCGGCCGACGGCCTCCGCCAGCCCGGCGCCGAGCCCCGCGCCCCCCGCGCCGCCGCCGCCGCCGCCCGACAGCGACGAGTCCGCGTCCTCGAGCCACTTCTGCAGCAGCGGCTTCAGCTTGCACATGTTTTTGAAGCTCAGGTTGAGCGCCTCGAACCGGGATATCGTCGTCTGCGAGAAGTCGTTCCCGTACAGCTTGCCCATCGCTAGGCCGACGTCGCCCTGAGTGAAACCTGCGGCGAAGCGACGAAATAGATCATGCTACAACATGTCACGGCAAAAGTTCTACCGGGCCGGCCGGGTACTCACCGAGCTTGATGCGCCGCTGCTTGAATGTCTTGGCGAAGTGCTCGAGCTCCTCGAGGTCGGCGGTGTCGTCGGCGGCGGGCTCGAGCGCCCGCGGCTTGTGCGCGTGCGCGTGCAGCGGCGTGTGCGCGTGGAGGTGCGCGTGCGCGTGCGCGTGGTGCGGGGAGCGCGCGCGGCCCGAGCCCGGCGTCAGCGGCGTCAGGAACGCGCCCGCGCCCGGCGGCGTGCGGCGCGGCGACGGGGACCTGCCGTCTGAACCACACAACGCACGTTGCACGCTCACGTCTACACATGCTCCTGCCTTCCCACATAAGGGACAGGAGTATTTGCATACGTGGGTATACAGGGGGCGTATTATGAACTCTTTAAAATCCAGTCAGTTTCCAGGCAGTTCAGTTTACGGCCTTAAACTGAATTGTTCTTTTTCGTATTATGAGGGTCCAAATTCAAACCGTATTCTGCCTGGATAGTTTGTCTCTGGCTGGTTAGTGGATTTTCTCGCGCTGCGTTCGGATACGCATACATTCGTTGCAACGTTAAGTCGAGTTTTTGTATGTCACTTTTTGGACAAAATATTAATTAAATAAATGTAAATTAAATATAGAAAATAGTAATTAAGATACAATGGTAGAATTTGTGTAATATACAAAAAATATTCCAGACAGTTTTATTGTCTTTTTTAATAATTCGGATTTATTTGTAAAAAATATTTTCATTGTAATATCCAAACGAACTTTGTGCATCTACTTAAAATTCCGCGCAAAGTACTTAATTCTGATTTTAATGTACAATTTGAAACTTAGCCTTTCCATAACTTTATACGCAAGTTAAATTTAATAATTCAATTATTGTGAAAAATATACCTAATGTAACGTAAGTATTCCTAACATTTTCTTAGTAATGTTTTTTTAAAATAATGCTAATATGTAACTGTTTATATTTGTATATTTATCTAACTAAATTGTAGATCAGGGACAGAAACCTCTCGCCAACGTCGTGTATCGTACCGGTAATTTGAAATTATATGGGATTTTTAAAATCCCATAGGGAAATGGCAAGTGGCTTTAATAAGTCCGCTCGAGTACTATACCAATCGCTTGTGTGAGGACGTCACTCAGCAATAAAAGGGGCTTTTAAAGACTGGAAAGGATTGTCAAGTTTAAGTGTTATAAGGTAACCATCTGAAGTTTAATTTATTTCATTTAATAGGAATCTCTGTAAAATCTGAAATACATGTATCTATGCAAATAAATTGAAGTATCTGTTTGTAATTCTGAAGTTCACCATACAACAGCTTTTCATTAAATGCATACATATATAAGGTAAGATAAATGACATCAAAAAAATAAAAATATTTGTCTGTCCGTTTGTTTGTTCTTGCTAATCTTTGAAACAGCCGGACCAAATTTGAGGGATACTTTCACTGTCATATGTAATGAGTTGTGTAAAGGAGTAACTTACATAAGTTACTTTTATTTGAAATATTTTATTTATTTTAACAAAAACTAGGTATGCCATATGGACAAAGTCATAGGTAATAACTAGTATATAATAAAATTATCATATCCATTTAATTATAACTACCAATAAAAGACACAAATAATGTACCTATATCCTTTATTATAAAAACAAATAATTAAAACATTGACCTATTAACAATATTATTATTTATAAATGTTTCAATTTCTTAGTTCCACAACTAAACAACATGGGTTTGTCTAGCAGCTAGACCTTCATTTAGTTCTCTATAAGAGCTCAAAGTACATGTAGGCATCTAAATCTAGAAGCCCAATTGTGCTCTCAATGATATTCCATGTTCTTACAGTGTAATATGCTTCTTGTGGTCCTGGTATAGCATTTGAGATGGGAGTATACTTCTCTAAAGCATATCCTGGATCTCCTAAAAAAAAAACAACATATTATATACTATAATATTAATATTTATTTACAAAAAGTATTATTTCATTAAAAACACAGCACAATAACTGTTGGTGCTGATAAATAACTGTTTCTAAATTACTGAGGTTTAGAGCTTAGATGTAATGATGTTTGTAGTTTCATAATAAAATTTTGTGCTTACCAAGTAATCATAAGGATTTATTCCAGCTTAAGTCCTCTAGATGTTGCTTAATGCCTCTGGTTTGCCCAAATGTCATGAGTAGCTCCAGTTCCAGTTGGCATCCACACTTATAATCTCCATGTCAGCATTACTAACCTAAAATTTTTTCTAGATTAATTACATAGATGAAGATTATTTGAAACATAAGAGAATAATTAATAGATAAATATTATTTGAAACATATGAGATTAATTACATGGATACAGATTATTTGAAACATATGTCTAAGTGTTATGGTCATTTAATATTTAAGTAAACAATTTATTGTTAGTATATAAGTAGCTTTAGAGATGTATAATCATTAACATATTTTGCATATCTAAAATCTTGTTTATTGTTAATTTATATAATTATATTAAAAAAAAGATATTAAAAGTGCTTATATTATTAAACATGTCTTTTAATTTATATTTCACTTACCAATTATATATTTAATGAATGGTATTGTTTTCTACAGTAATATCTCTTCTTAATTTACAATGGGGTGGCATGTGTACAGTCAAATACAGCCCAATACACCCAGCATTCCAAATTCCAATTATAAAACCTAAAATATAATTAATTTAATTTAATTAATTGTCCTCGGAGGAAAGTGCCGGAGAGACTGCACATCATCAGACTGTTGCATACTTGTAGGTATACTTGCTTTCTAGGCTTTACTTGTATGCATACATTTTACCATATATATTATCACTATATCATATGGTATGGTACATGGTACTCATAGATGTATTTGCAACAATCACAGTTGCTAATTGTATAGAAATAGATACCTTTGAATATTTATTATCTATCCTTTACTCAGATGTCCTTGGAATTTTATATATGTATTTACTTTTGGATGTTGGGTAAATGCAATAAATCGGTTATTTGCCATTGGCTGTGCTAGCGAATGAACAGCAATATCACAAGTAGGCCGTTGATACGAGCCTGCAGCGTAAATAATAATGCTACTAAAACCCGACATAGTCAGCTAGTGATTTAGTGAAATAATTACAATACAATATACCTTAGTTTCCACTGGTAGGTCTGTAAACTTCGATGATACCGGCATATGAGTTCGCACGCATATTACGCACCAAATCTTTGTTTAGATTATAACGTTTTCTAAATTGTTCATTGTCTATATCAATTGGATTGGATAGGTCGCGTAATCGCCGTCTTTTCACTTTCCTTACTTCTTTTTCGTAGGGTGCACACATTTCCAAAAACTCCAATACTTCGAGTTCATCACACATAATTAAAATTAAAACGAAACAAAAACAATCGAAATAACTGCACAAACATGTTTTAAACATAATAAAAACTGACATAGAAATAGAAATAATAACCAAATTACAATAATGAAGCTATAAATTAGAAAACAATTCTATAAAAGCTAATATGAAGCCACCGTAAACTGAATTTTTTTTTTTTTTTTTTGGTTCTGTTTTTCCCTTTTTAGGGAAAGGCAAAAGGACTCAGCCCATACAGCCATTGTCTTCAGTAATATTTTCGTATTTTTTTTTTTTTTTCTAATACTTGTCTTCAGTAGTTATATATCTTGAAATGTTGTTATTACGTACTCGAAAATGGGTTTGTATGTTTCTGTGTTCTTTAATAAATTCTGGATGGAGCGCGGGATCTCCATTTTATCATATATATTGATCAATTTATCAATAAATATTAATCGCTGGATTGCGAAATGTTGACATTCAAAAAACAAGTGATCTAATGATTGATCTTCGTCGGCAGAACAATAATCACATATAGGAGACGAAACCATTTTCATCCTATGCAAATGCTTTTTATATCTTCCATGTCCAATTCTAAGACGACATAAAATTGAATAAAATTTTCTTTCCACATATTTTCCTTGAACGAACCATGGCGTTTTAAATTCTTGCTGTATTTCTCTGAACCATTTCCCTTTAACTTTTATAGATTCTTCCCACTGTTGTTTCCATTTAGTTTTAATTGTTTTTCTTATTTCAACGATAAAATCTGAAGCTGGGATTAACATGTATTTTTCTTTTCCTTGAATTTGACAGTTTGTGATGAACCTAGCCAGTTCATCAGCTTTTTCGTTGCCAGTGACATCAACGTGAGCTGGAGTCCAGATAAGATTAATATCCATATTAAGCCGTTTTTTAAAATCATATATTTTCCTTTGAATATTTTGTATAACGAAAGATGTTTTACTAGAAGAAACATTCGCAAGGGCCAACAAGACACTCATGCTGTCCGTTAATATGACCCATTTATCATTATTGTTTGTTTCACCAATATAGTCTAGCGCTGAGATAATAGCGTAAGCTTCAGCAGTAAATATGCTCGATTTATTCGATATTTTTGTACCGAATGATATTTTTTCCTTGGCATCATAAACAGCAATAGCCGTGCAGTCTTTATTTTTAGCACCATCCGTATACATATGCCTATAATTGTTCCATTGAGATATGTAATCATAGACATCATATTTATTATGTAAATTCTTATTTATAAAAATGGGGGTTTTAAAAAAATTACAATCATATGAATTGCTATTGTGAACTAATTTCTGATTAATAAATATGTTGGAGTTATGTAGACTTTTAATAATTTCAGTTATATTATTAGAGAGGAAATTATTAGGAGAGGATGGATTTTTTAATTTATGTAATAATTGGTTATCATGAACAGAATAAAGTTTCAGTAAAAACATAAGTTTTAGCAATTCAAAACGTAACGGCAATGGGGGTATATTACATTCAACTTGCAACGAATTTATTGGTGATGTGCTCATGGCTCCCAAAATTAATCTTAAATTTATATTTTGGAGTTTTTCTAATTTATCAACATATTTTTCTTTGTTACAAAAACAGAAGAACGCATATTCAAAATGCGTTCGAACCAGCGACTTGTAAAGAATTAACAGAATTTTAGGGTCTGCTCCCCAAGTAGTGCCGACCAAAGATCTGAGAATATTAGTGGACATCATGGCTCTATCTGATACACAATCGACATATTTTTTAAAACTTAAATTATTTTGAAATATTACACCTAAAAATTTTGCTTCTGGCTCTACTGGAATAATAGCGCTCATATATTTCACCTGACTAGATGAGTCTATATTTAAATTGTTATTACTAAACACTACCATTTTGCTTTTAGAAGGACTGATTTCCAAATTTACATAAGAAAAATATACTGAAAGATTACTAAGAGCAATATTGATTTTGGATAATGTATCCACAATATTGTCACCATAACAATATACAGCTAAGTCGTCAGCAAATTGGAGATTATGGACATAAGGCCCTAAAGCATCATTAATTCTATGAACATAAATAATATATAATAAAGGACTAAGTATACCACCTTGTGATACTCCTACATGAGATAAGCGAGGACCTATACATGAAACATTACTAACTTTAACGTATAATTTTCGACCATTCATAAAATTATATAACCATATTGCTAGTTTATTTGAAACTCCGACAGAAATTAAGATATCTGCCAAAATCTTCGGATTTACATTATTGAATGCACCCACTATATCCAGAAAAATTGCTACCAAATGTTGATTATTTTCTAAAGCTTTCTTAATATCGATATAAAAATGCCCTAAGCTTTCCCGAGCTGAAAATCCTCGTCTGAATCCAAATTGATTCGACGGCAATAGATTTTGAGTAAACTGAATTGTTTTTAAACGGTCTTTTTGACAGTTGCGTCCGCTTAGATCTGTCAAATGAAACGCTCATAATACGAAATAGCCGGTCAGTTTTCGGGCAGAAGACGTTCAGCTGTCACGTGACCGCTGACTGGCTGGCTAATAGCGTTCGTAATACGAAATCGCCAGGCAGTTCAGTTTAAGCCGTAAACTGAATGGGAATAAGAGTTCATAATACGGCCCCAGAACTAAAAAATAGGAAGATTTTAAAAATGCTACCGCAATGGTGATGTTAGAGTTGATGACTGACTGATAGAAGACTGTTATAATGGCACGTAGAAGTGCCATAGGCGGGAGGGTATGACATTACATCTGTATTTACAAAATATTATTTTTAGCAACGGTTTGTGTACAGAATTGGTATTGGAAACTCTACCGCGAACGTAGCATCAGAGTCGCCACATTTCAGTATAAATAATTATGTTTGCTCTCTTTTATTTTCACTGAATTGCTACTAAGAAATCCGGCTCGAAAGACCAATTTTCGGTTTTTACCGAAACTATAAAGATTCTGATAGGTAAAACTGATAAATGATACTGTTAGAAACTTGATTAAAACTGTATATTGAAACTTAAAATATAACTGATTAATATTGTAATGAGTACGCGCGGTGTCCTTGATGTCCGAATGGGAACTGATTTTAATGAAATATGAAATGTAAAATAAAATGTTAATGTTGCGAAATAATGTACGATGCCAGCTCGTACAGATATCGATATAGATAAGTATTAAAAGTATTTACCACTGGACGAGTTTGCTGCTGCATTAGCTCGTGCTTGCAACTGTTGTAGCTGCTGCGCCGCCGCTTGAGCGACAGCTTGCTGCACCTGTGATTCATAATACGAAATTTATAATTTACTATTTGTAACCACATATGACCTTCAGTCTCTGAATAAGTCTGATCTCAAGATATAGTAGGATCGAATATGTATACCGACCTGCGTGTGCAGCAGCAGCGAGTGCGCGCCGTGTGGAGTCAGCAGCAAGTGCTGGAGCTGCGCCAGCGCGCTGCCGGGGCCGCCCGCCGTCTGCACGCAAGAAACGGAATTAGTGTCTCCGAGGAATCATGACGAGTGTAGGAGTGTAGTGGAGCGGAGTACTCACGAATGCGGCGTGCGCGGCGTGCGGGGGGTGCGCGGGGTGCGCGGCGTGCGGGAGGGGCGCGGACGGCGCCCGCGGGGGGGACGGCCCGCGCTCGTCGCCGCTGATCTCGCCGTCACCGCTCGCCGACCCGTCTGCAAGTCAAACACATAAATATTGAGACCAGTTTTTTGTTTTTGGACTACTCTAATGCTGTTGGCCGCAGCTGGCCTTTACAGCTTCACCGGACGATAGGGGGCGAGTGCAGATGGCACTCCGAACCAAGGAAGGACTTATGGAGCGGCTGAAGGCCAACTCCTGCCTGACGGATACGACTTTAGTCTGAGGGCACCACTAGGGGTTCGAATCTTGGCTCATTTGAATTGGACGGGAGATCGATCGGAGGGGTTACAGTTCTTACGCGTACAAAATTAATCTTAATTTCATCTTCATCTCGTACTTGATTGCGCCGATACATGTTACACTAATCTTACAAAAGACCAACTTAATAAGCTTGATCGACTTCAAATTACTCTTATAAGATTTATTTGCGATCTTCGAAAATGTGATCATGTTTCCGAGTTTCGCACTAAACTCAAGTGGCTTTCTATTTTATTATCTTTTATCCCCTTAGGGGTGGAATTTATCAAAATCCTTTCTTAGGGGTTGCCTACATCATAGTAGCTTTATGCATGCAAACTCTCAGCCCGATCCGTTTAAAATTTACAAAGTTTCATACAAACTTTCATCCTTTAATGTCTGAAATAGCTGGACCGATTTTGACGTGACATTTTTTGGCAGGTAGCTGATGTAATAAGGAGTAACTTAGGCTACTATTATTTTAGAAAAATAAAGTTAAAACCCACGCGGACGAAGTCGCGGGCACAGCTTATATTGTAATATAATAAGGACGTCAGAATCGATGTTACGTAAATATATATGTAAGAAGTTGTTTGACTTATTGGTACTTTATTAAAAGTAAATAATGTAAAAATTCATTAACTCAGCATAGCTGAGTTAATGAATGTAGTTTACTAATAGCTGAGCATGTCGATAAAGAACACTTCATGGGCGCCGGTCAGTGTGAAGTGGTCACCGGGACGGTCACACGGCCGTCGCCGGATATTTGATGTAAATGAGGCCGCCCGCCCAGCGCAAATCATAATACACCCATACGGTGCAGTCACCGGCAGTAATCGAATGATACATGACGTCGACGCTCGGTTTGGATCAAGTATTCATTGTGTTTTACCAAAATTGAACCTAAACCCTATTTTATATCTAACTAGCTACTCGCCCTGGCTTCTCCCGGGTTTACGTGTATTATATATATAAACCTTCCTCTTGAATCACTCTATCTATTAAAAAAACTGCTTCAAAATCCGTTGTGTAGTTTTAAAGATTTAAGCATACATAGGACAGACAGTCGAACTCCCTTAAACTACTTATGTGAATAATGTTAATCTATGAAATTAAATATTAAAACTTATAAAGAATGTACGACGTTAATATTTTACTCTATTTATCTACACAAAGGAATAAGCTTTTTTTTTGTTTGAAGACAATTTTTCTGCTCGATATTACTACATACATTTTTTACACGGTGAAAGTGACATCACATAAATACTGGGGTGGTGCGTGCGTGGTGCACGAGTCGTGAAGGGTTAGGAGCTCGCCTTAAGAAAGGGATGGGGTTAGTATGGGAGGCTGCGCGCGCGCAAGGTGCGGCGCGTGCAATCCTTTCCGGTCCCGACGCGTGCTTAAAGCAAATGTCACAAGGGAACACTACAAGTTTTTTATATCAAACTTTCGGAACTATGAATGAGCTATATATTATTGTGACACTAAAATTAAGAATATAACAATACCCTGCTATTGTTGTATAGTGCTGTGCTTTTGTACCCAGCGCGTTATAGTAAGCAGATTACGACTCAGACGTTCATTGAGCGTGTACAACTAAGGTATGTCAGTTAACATTTACTGTCATTTTGTATAAGTATGTAGATTATGTATTGTTTAATGTAATAATTATTTAATCAATAAATAACTTTTTTTTTCAGAGAATACACACTTTAAGAATCTAGTCCTGTGCTCTTTGCAGGGCTTGTGTTATGGGCTCTACACACATATACGTAGATATATTTGTAAATAAATACATAGTATATGTACATATATATAACTCAAAGGTGACTGATGTAGTGATCTATCAACGCACAGCCCAAACCACTGGACGGATCGGGCTGAAATTTGGCATGCAGGTAGATGTTATGACGTAGGCATCCGCTAAGAAAGGATTTTGATTAATTCTACCCCCAAAGGGATAAAATAGGGGATGAAACTTTGTATGAAACTTTGTCAATTTTAAACCGATCGGGCTGACACTTTTCATGCATAAAGCTACTATGACCTAGGCATCTCCTAAGAAAGGATTTTGATAAATTCCTCCCCTAAGGGGATAAAATAGGGGATGAAAGTTTGTATAAATCTTCTTAGATTTTGTAGGCCCTAATTTTTTACAGACGCTAAACTAAAGTAAAACCGCAAAAACTACACCTACTTAATAATAACACCTACTACTACGCGAGCGAAGCCGCGGGCAAAAGCTAGTGTATTATATATATAAACCTTACTCTAGAATCACTCAATCTATAAAAAAAGAACCCCTAGGGACAGACAGCGAGAGTACAGTTTGCAAAGTTGTTTGGTTATTTTTTTATTGAACTACTTTATATTTATTTATTTTTATAAGAACAAAGATTTACATTTAAATTATTGTTTAACTGTGTTCAGGAGGCGTACTTTATATGTGTATGTTATATGTGTGTGTTATATGTGTGTGTTATATGTGTGTGTACTTACCATGACTGGGCGGCGGCGACGGCGACTTGATGAGTTGTGACTCTTCTGAAACAGAAACAAACATTTCATGTAACGCATTGCTCCTCTATTGTAGGCTATGATATAGATAGATAGATAAAATCTTTATATATTATCTAAGAGTCCACCTCTACCTACTACCAACTTGTACACGGTCACTGCTGTACAAGCGTAATACCAAACTGTACTTGGTCAATTGACTCTTAAACGAGTCATTATGATATTTGGCAGGCTCAAACTTGGCCTCTTGGACTTGGTAACTTTCTATGTAACTGGAATTGCAAACCGTCTGTCGGTCTGCCTGGACTTAAGTGGATACCATCGTCTTTTATATATGTATATGTAGTAGCCGCGATTTTGTCCACGTGGAATTAAACTTTATTTGACTGAAATAAAAGAGTTTCTCTAAAATAAAAGTAGCCCAGCTATCTAAAAAAGTCCCGTCAAAATCTGTCCAACCATTTCAGAGAATATTTTTATTTTTTATTTTATTTATTCATTTATTTCAGGCAACTATTATACAGGCCCATATTATAAATACCTTATAGACTAACATACATATAATATAATATTTAAAAACGAATACAACGATAGTAATATTTAAAAACGATTAGCCGGAACAAACAGACAGACAGAAAAAATAAATAAAAATGGAGTGTCTGTTTGTAATATTGAAATAACAGTTTTTTTACTATATGCATATGAATGTCAACACATGTTACACCAAAATAATATTTTTACAATTTTTGTCCGTCTATCTGTTTGTTCCGGCTAATCTCTGAAATGGTTGTCCGATTTTGACGGGTCCTTTATTGGCAGGAAGCTTATGTAATAAGGATTAACTTAGGTTACTTTTATTTTAGAAAATTTCTTTTAATTTAGAAAAATAAAGGTAAATTCCACGCGGGCGAAGTCGCAGGTGGAGCTAGTTAAGATGGTTAAGATGTAAACACTCAAACGTCAATTTTTAGGGTCCTCTTAAATCGACCAGCATCCAGAGTATTTCAGTAAACAATTAAATATTTTATTTCCAGTTACATAGGTTTACTATACATATAATTAGAAGATTTCACATATATTTATTTATTTATATAACTTCAATGCACAAAATACCAAGGTAAAAGTACATATGGCGGACTTAACGCCTTAAGGCATTTTCTACCAGTCAACCATAGGCTGTGCAGATAAAAACTGTAGGCGGTGCAAATATAATTAATAAAAACAATAGGTCAAAAAAAATAAAAAAAATATATAATATAATTAACAAACAGTTAAGCATGAAATATTGTTGTATCCAAAAATAAATTGAATGCATTTTCAAACACAAAAAATTGCAATAAAACGATACAAGTTCTCAGTTCGTCTATAAGACCGATACAAATAATCATATTCATTAATGCTAATGTATGTGGCGTGCGAGGAATCGAACCCGTGACCATCGATAGTAAGGCGGTATTCTAAACCACTATACCACCGAGGCCCTCAATACGAGAAACCTTCACACATGTCTTCGGCAATCGCGTAAAATAATGTCCACGAACCGCCCCAGTCCGAAGATAATTGTTAAAGTACTACTACTGTTAAAGTACAAAATTGCTTTGACAGTCAGTTTTTCTAAAATGTTATTGTATTTCTGATGATTTAACTTTAACTTTACAACTTAATAAAATCCGTAATAACAGTCCATTCAGTGTTGTACGCACGCCTGTACAAATTTCGTAGAGCTGTCTACGAGAGTGCTACGCCTTGTTAACTTATATTAGTTGTTCGAATATATGATGTACTAGCTGCACCCGCGACTTCGTCCGCGTGGAATTTAACTTTATATTACTAAAATACAAGAATTTTTCTAAAATAAAAATAGCCTAAGTTACTCCTTATTACATCAACTACCTGCCAATAAAAGCCCCGTCAAAATCGGTCCACCCATTTCAAAGATTAGCCGGAACAAATAGACAGATAGACAGACAGTCAAAAATTGTAAAAAATGTTATTTTGTTGTATGTCCCGTATTTATATTCATATGCATGTAGTAAAAAACGGTTATTTCAATATTACAGACAGTCACTCCAATTTTATTTATATGTATAGATATGGTGGCCGAATTATGATTATTATTAATTTAATTATTCAATAATTGGGTTAAAATTTTAATGAAATAGAAGATGCTTCTGTGTACAGTGCACAGAAGCAGAAGCAAAAATTGTACAGCTGTACAGTGACTGGACTGGCTCCACAAATAATGTTTTGTATAAAAAGTTGTTGTACATTATACTTGATTGGTATAGAACATAAACTATACATAGTATTGTTTATATGTTATACTGTTTTATATATTACTAGCTACTCGCCCCGGCTTCGCCCGGGTGTACACGTATTATACATATAAACCTTCCTCTTGAATCCCTCTATCTACTAAAAGAAACCGCTTCAAAATCCGTTGCGTAGTTTTAAAGATTTAAACATACATAGGGACATACAGCGACAGCGAGTTTGTTTTATACTATGTAATAATGATGATTATTTAGGTTTTATACATTATACATTCAGATTTAGTGTGGGAACCGTGAGTGCGCGGTGGCGGGATACCTGCCGTCGACAGTAATCCGAGTGCAATCTTTGATACAAAGCTCTAGTCGGCACATACATATGTACATACACGTGCAATTCAAATATCCGCAACTTCAGAAAGATCTAGTTAAGGGATCGCAAAAACGAACCATGTTAAAAGGAGTCGTAAAAAACTGAAGGCATTGTGTGTGCGAGGCGAACTATTATTGAAACGTCATCGCGACGTGGCGCGTTTTTTGCGGCCACTATTTAAGATTTAGATATAAAAAGGGTACAATCACAGAAACAGGAACGCATCCAACGTCGACGCATTCTAAAAAAGTGTGCAGTTGTGTAGTTTTTATTTAATCACCCACACATACGTACGGACGCGGCAACTGAACATGTTGTATTGCTATAACTAGGAACGTTAACAATTGTATCTTAAGAAGATCTGATCTAACGTGATCGGGTCACCAGAAATGTGTATAAAATGATAATGCATTTCGTAATGTGATTGTAATAAAATTACGTTGTAGCAATTTTTATACGATTATCAATATATCTAACTGATTTAGAATATGTTCTAACTGTGTATTCATAATTTGTTTTGGCACGAAAAAGTTACAAACTTTCACGTTTACTAATACGTATAATAGTAGGATGTTACAACGAGTTAATGTTACAACTTGAACTAATTTAATTGTAATAGTTTATAATCGTGCAGCGCGCACTATTAACTAATTGTGAATGAAATGACTTCAGTACTAGTTGGTGGTATCTGGTATCTACAATTACTTAGTGCAGAATTCAAGTGCAATTAAATGGTCGATGATATTAAACTACATGTAAAACAATGTCTCTACACCCCTACGGTTAAATGTAGTAAATACTTTACTAATTGCAAACAACTAGCTACTCGCTCCGGCTTCGCCTGGGTGTACATCTAAATATATATAACTCAAAGGTGACTGACAAGGTGAGTATGTCTTAATTGACATGAACTCTGAGTTATAATGTATGGTTGCATATAACTAACTTTAGCTGATAAGGTGTATCTTTTTAAGAAAAATGTAGAGATGGCTTTATTATCTATACATATAAATAAAATTGTAGTGTCTGTTTGTAATACTGAAATAACCGTTTTTTACTACATGCAAATGAATATAAATACGGTACATACGTCAAATTATGATTTTTTTTAAATTTCTCTGACTGTTCGTTTGTTCCGGTTAATCTCTGAAATGGCTGGACTGATTTTGACGGGACTTTTATTGACAGGTAGCAATATGGAGTAACTTAGGCTACTTTTATTTTAGAAAAATAAAATTAAATTCCACGCGGACGAAGTCGTGGGTAGAGCTAGTATATAATAGATTACAGTTAGTAATTTCGTAGTGTCTCTGCAAACGTTGAAGGTGTCTACGAGCGTCGGGTCGTAATTATGTACTACGTTCTACGTGACCCTAATCAATGGCAATAAAACTGACTGATAATGTAATTGATAGTACATACACTGCGTATTATTTATTTATTTTCAGAAATGTTTGAAAATTCATAATATCATTAAATTTGTAAAGTAAATTACTACTCGTGGACTCCTATTGTGAGAAAATATATTCTCTTTCAAGAGGAAAGTTTGGTCCACTTACAGAACATTCATTTAATAATGAGCAGGTAATAGATGTAATTTTTGGATACACAAATATATGTTATAGCGGTTCACAATCAGTTTACTTTTTTTTTGAGAGATTACTTTTTTTTTGAGATTTTACCTAAATGTCGTTTGGCTAAAGTTAGGAATTCGTTTTATGGCAATTGCGTAAGGTTTTACAATAAAATACCAGAGTCTATTATAAATCTGCAAGAAAAAAGATTTAACTGTCAAATAAAACAGTTACTTTGCAAAAAAGCTAACTATAAAATTGAAGAATTCGTTAACGATAATAATGTTTTTATAGAAAAACTTTAAATCCATAGCACTGACAATATTATCTGATTACACTAATAATGAGTGCGTAGCGATTTCTATGTTGATTATCGCATGCCTCTTACTTGTTACACTGTAATTATTTACATAAAAAACATCTACTAAAAAGAGCAACACACAAGTTTCTTGCTCATTCTTCTTGTGATGAATCTGCATTCCGAATGAGTGGTAGAATCAAAATATGACTATTCAAAAGTGCTTGTAATGAGTTTATTTGAATAAAGATTATTTCTATTTCTATTTACTTTCACGAACATATTCGACTTATAGTTAACAATTAGAAAAAAAATCACTCGATCTTACAAAGTTTCATATTTAATTTTATTGAATTTAATTAAATAATTACTGCGTTAAAATTAAAACGATATATATCTGTAATCGCTTTTGTATAAATCAGTTTATTTTTTAATCTAAGTATTTTGTGCGCGAATTGAAACTTTAAAGAAATTTTTATGTAGAAAAATATTTAGGAAACTAATATTAGTTA